AATGAATCTGTGTGTGCACGTGCGAAGGGGCTCAGCTGTGTGTATGCGCCTTACTACATGTTTGATTATGCGAATGGTTTAAATTTCTGTGTGAGTCTTTGTGCTGTCTGATTAAATTAAGGCAGTGCCCTGTGGGGGCATGGATGAGTGTGCCCGTGTGTGTGTGTGTATGTGTGACTATTACAGTAGATTGAATTAATGCGGCGCCTCTGCAAATGGGAGTGGGTGAAAACCATCAGGGCTGGTAACACACCCCTGAAAAGCGTTCGTTTACTATCCCTTTTTTATAACAGACAGAAAAGCTTCACTTTCTGTAATGAAAAAGTAACTCTGAGTCTTTTGTGATTGCAAGAGTTCAGATATGCATTATGTAAGCCAGCATGTTTAAAGTGGAACTATTGTGCTTTTCAATATTTGTCATGTATATACTAGGTTACAATAGAAAAAGCTGACCTTAAATTTTTTTTGCTATTTATATTATTTCAAGAATGCAAAACATGAACTGTGAAGAAGCATAATAGACTCATTTTAGGAGTCCTCCAATGCTAAATTATTCTTTTTTTTATCAAAACTGGGAAACCATTATCTAATCCACTGATTTAGCCTCTCAATTAACGGCCATTTTTTAAAATTTCTTATGAGGTCGAAGAAGCTATTTATGGCTGCTCTCTTGCCATAAGGGGTCGCCACAGCGGGTAGCTGTGCATGTTTGACTTGCCAGTGTTTTAAGGTGGATGCTCTGAGGTAGCAAATATCAAGACCTCCTGTGCTGTCCACTGGTCATTGTTTATGATGCAGATACATAAATGTAAATCAGAAGCCAGTAGCCAGTGGTTTCAAGATTGCATTTCAGGACATGGATTGTTAAATTACACATAACCCAAACCTGCAAAAGATTGTAGTCCAAGTTCTATGACCAAGCAGACTACAAATTGAAATCTCAAAGCTTCCGCCACCATTGTCCCTTTCCAGCAGATTTTGGATTTTCATATCTGTATAGAAATAAATGCATTAGAAACTAAAATAGCATTTATTATATTCTTGTAAATGTCCTTACAGTTACAAACAGAAGCAAGATTGATATATGGGTAGGCATATATTATAACACAAGATTGGTCTATCATATTGCTATCAGAGTATAGTTGTATATTTCAGTATGTTGTGATATGAACAGTTATTATGGCTTCTAGAAAGGCAATGTAGAGGTAGTCATTATATAATTTGTCCAGCAATCTATGAATGTTTGTTTTGTTTTTATTACAATACTCTCAGTAATGCTGCAGCATGCCTTCACTTTAAGTTGCTAACTAAGTTGGGAAATACATTTCATTAAAGTAGATAAACAATTCAATTTATTTTTATTTTTAATAAAACTGTAGCATTTCTGAATATTAAATGCTACGCTAACATCCTCACATCGATGATGTTGATAGATAATATACATATAGTGTCTTTGCTTACCATGCTAACATTTGCTAATTAGCACTAAACAGTGTACAGGGGACATTTATGGAAAGTGTTTTTGCTGCCATTTGGATATAAACCAAAGTAGTGAAGTAGTACAGTTATGAACAAATGCTTTTAGGCAGTCTGCTTTTTTTAATGTTTTGGAGGGAAAATTTGCTCATGCAGCAATTTATTGAGACACATGCAAACATGCATGAAAATACAGTAGATAAAGCGAAAAACAGAGTTTGTACAATTCTAACAAGCTTGAAAGTTAGTATTTGGTATGACCACCTTTATTCTTCAACAGCACCTGGACTTTCTTTGGCAAGCTTTGCTATAATTTCTAAGTAGTCGTCGGGAATAGTTATCCAGTCTTCTTTAAGCACATTCAGTTTGATTCTTTGGATTTTTGCTGCCTCTTTCTCTGTTGTCTGTGAAGATGATCCCTCACTGCTTCAAAAATTGTTGAAGTCTAGAGTCTGGGGAGGCCAGTCCACGACAGTAATTATATTTCCATATGGTTATACTTTTACTACACTGGTGTAAACAACATAATTTTTTACTACCTCAGAAACTGCAGCCTCTGAGAGAAAATAAAATTACTACATGACCAGTGCATTCTCAAGTATTCCCACAACTTTATCCACTCTTTTTTAAGGTCACCATGAAGCAGAGATACTTGTCTTGATGGTATTACGCAGTGTTTAATTTTTGACTAAGATGTGTCTAGTTGCTACAGCAACCGGTTTGTGTAAAGTGTAGTCATTTTAATGTGATTAAAGCGAGTGGGGTTTTAATTGCACTGTTTAACACTTAAATGAATATTTTTCAAGGCCTTTGTGTGGATGGAGGCACAGCATTCCCAACAGACCTCTTTCTCTCTTTGTATGATTATTGCAGGCTTTGAAACGCATATCTGTGGTTCGATACGGATTAACCAGTTCTGTCCTGTGAAAACACACTGATGACAATCAGACCTGCAGTTCATTAGCTGTACCTGGCTAACCCCCAGTGGAGCCAGGCACAAACACACACACATACGCACATAAAGATGTGCTTTCGCTAATATTCTTGATCTACCCTCAGTAGATCTTTTCATTTCACACACGTTTTCTTAAAAATATTTTCCTCTATCCCCTTTCAAGCAAACGCACTCACGTGCTTGTATCTCTATCTTTGTGAGGACATTCAATGAAAGTGAGGCCAAAAATGTCCTTACTTAAACAAAATCACACCAGTCCTCATAATCATAGTTGAGCAAGTATATTCACATGCACACACTTCATATCTTTGTGTGTCTCTCCACATTCACACACTTTCATTACTGTGATGCTTGCAGGCACATGCAGGGATTCTCCATTGTGTTCCCTATCAGCCTGCGGGATGGGGCTCACTAATTAATATTTAACTGAAGACCGCCTCCAACCAAGAGAGGAGATGCAGAGATAGAGGACTGAAAGGAGGGGAAAGTGGAAGGATCATGGTGTGGAGGAGAGGGGAAGGACAGGAGAGAGAATAGGCCGGGAAGGATCAGAAGGAAGAAAAGCCTGGAAGTCTGAGGTTAGGCTATTGATCACAAGGATAAGAAGGCAGGAGAGATGAGGGGAGGAGTACGGTGACAAGAGCAGTTGGAGAAATGCTGGATTTGACAGAGCCTAGAGAGAAGGAGATGACTGATGCAGAAGCACTGAAAAGAGAAGGGTTCAATGAATGGATGACAGTGAGAGCAACAGAGAAGAAACTGACAAGAATTTGAAGAAAATGTTGGAATGAGACAGACGTTTTCTGACAGAAGCACTTCTCGTCAATGCAGAGATATAAACAAGATAGATGGATTTAAGGGGAAGCAGTAGCAGGAACAAAGTAAGGATGAAGCAAGGAAGAAAAAAAATGCCGCAGCTCCACACTGCAGCATATGATATTTGTTTGACAAAAATTAATTCATCCAAGGATGAAGTTTGAGTTTTACAGAATTTGCTTTAAAACAATAACAGGCTGTGCTTCCTTTATCAGCTGTGTGAACCAAATACTTATTGAAAGGTAGCCAAACGGGCTACAATTATAGCAGCAAGCAGACTACCAAAGATACATATTTAAATATAAATATCAGTTTGTGGAGTGGCTTCAGGCTAGTCTAATACACCCTAATTTTGACACATTTAATGATAAACTCTCTCCATGCATCAATTGTAGATTTCTTTCCCCCACATGTGTGGCGCAGCGGTCAGATGTAACATGATGTATGTTATGATTGTTTTGCCATGGTATTACAGAGGATTGAGAATAGAAAGGCACAAGGCCCCCTTCTTATGAGATTATTTGTGTCCCCGCTGTGTAATCTGTCTAATCCAGCACTGTATGGTTTGAGATTACGTTAAGAGGAGACGCTGCAGTTAATGAATCCGTCCTGTGTCTTGTAGCTCCTTATCGTTCAGGCTCTTTGTCTCTGGTTGTGACCTACTAACATGCATTCAGGAGGCAGATTAGAAAGGTGATTACTGGTATCATCTGATTCTGTGTGTATGTTTGTGTTAGTGGGGCGAAAGATGACCTCAGATGACAAAGTGAAAAGAAGGAGCATGTCGCTCTCCTTCTCAGTTGCTTTCTCTCTCCTGTATCCGCCTCTCGCTTTCCTGCATTGGTGCGGACCTGACTAAATGCAGTGTCAGAATTTTGGATGCTGTCAAGGCTCTGGCAGTGTTTCCATGGCGAGGCGTCCTCAATGATGTCACTCACTCGGGCCTCTGGAGACAGAGCCCCACCCCTCCTGACATCTCCCTGCCGGTATGTGTGCGTGTGTTTATGTGTGTCTCCATGTGAAATGGGCCGGTGAAAATCACACCATGTTATCCTTGAAACACCTGCCTGTGTGTTTCAGCCCGTAATGAGCTGTCTAGCTGCAGTCTGCATGGCTTTGTAGAGACACATCATTATATCCTGCAACACACACACACACACACACGGGAAGATTTCTGCCAACGTTATTTCACCACGGGAAGCCAATGCGTTTTGGAGGCTGCTATAGTAACATATAGTGGCATGTCAAAATGTAGGTGGAATAAAAGGTGTGAGTGTGCATTCAAGCATTTGTGGAGGGGGTGCGGTCTTGTCGGGTGTCTTTCATGGCAAAAGAAAGGTTAGATTCCTTTGGGAGGCTGCACACGTACTCTTCTCACCCTCCTTGCACCCTCATCTTCTTCATTCATCATCTCATCTCTTAATTATCTTTTCTTTCTCTCCTCCCCATCTTTTCCTTACTTTCTCTCTGTTTCACTCCCTCCGTCATCTCCTCCACCCCCCATCACTCTCCCACCCCCCTTGTCAGCATTGTCTCAGCCCTGGAGCGGGGGTCATCAGGAGGGTGGGGTTTCTGCCTTCAATACGACAGCACTCCTCTCTGCTTGTGCCTCCTAGCGTTCAACCCCCTCCCCTCTTCTCTCCCTCCCTCCTTCCATCTAACCCTCCCACCCTCTCTCCCACTGGTCCACCCTCCCCCCACCCACACTCCTTTCATCAGCAAGCAATGAGGTAATCCCTAGCAGCCGCGTGAAGTGCAGCAAGTGCAGTGAGAGGGAGAGAAGCGAGAGCAGAAGCGAGAGAAGCCGGTGCAAGGCAGAAGCGGCGAAGATGTCAGGAGCTGTAATATCACTGGCTGTTATCAGTACCAGCTGTTAGCAGCTCGCTCGTAGGTAATAGCTGATGTTGTCACAGGCAGCTGCATGCAAGCTGCAGCTTTGGTGTTAGCGGTTTTAGCTTGTAGCCTGTTTTTCTTTTCTTTTTTTGTAGTGGTGGCACTATGTTGAGTGGCTGTTAGCCAGACAGAGAGGCAGGCAGGGGTGGGACAGGCTTAACCCAAGGGCTGGTGTTTAGATAGGACACCCCGGGTGGGGAAGAGAGAGTGAGACAGAAAAGGGAGAGGTGAAGTAGTAGAAAAAGAAGAAGAAGAAGAAAAAAGAGTGAGGTTTGAGAGAAGGTAGCAGAGGTGTGTGCCCACCATGACGGAGAGGTGTAGTCTGTGGAGTGCCCTCTCGGCTGCAGCATGCTGCTTCTATCGGGGATCCTTCATGCAGGTGCAGGTGAGTGAGCATTTGTGTGTGTTGTGCTTTTACTATTTAATACTCTGCATATGTGCAGTATATGGTCCAAGTTTCCTGCATTTGTGTATGCATGTGTGTGTATGCATGTGTGTGTTTGTGAAGGTTCACGCTTCTGTATATTTGTGGGAGGTGTGCTGACTGCTGGCTCCTCTTCTGTCCCGGCAGCTGGTAATGTCAGCCTGCCTGGTAGTTGGCAGTCTGATGATATCATAGACTTTGTACAGTACTTGGGTGTCAGATAGACTGTGTGAAAACAATGTGCGGAGTGAGTTAGAGGGAGCTGGTGAGGGAGGAGAAGGGTTTGTGTGCGTGGCTTTGAGAAAGAAACCATGGGAATATGTGTTTGCACTTTGCATGGTTGTGTATGGGAGGCAGAGAGGGAAAGTGTGTGCGGTACAGTATTCTAAGGTATCAGTTGTACTTTGGTCTAATTTAGTCTTGCTGCTGGAAACCCAATATCTGACCTTATTCCTGGACAAAATGACACCAGCGGTATATTTGTGTTTGTGTCTGTACTTCCATTAGTGATGCTTGATATTCGATGATCATTGGCGAAAAGCTTGTCGTTTCAAAATTTCAACTTTTTAACCTCTTAAGCCCCAACGCCCCCTGATACAGGGGCAAAAGGCAGGAGATCAGGTAGGCTTGGGGCTTAAGAGGTTAAAGGAAAACAAACTAACAGCTCAGTTCGGGAGGAGTGATGCTTTTTTGGGATGTTATCTACTGGGGCAAGGATGTTCAGAGTGGGAATAACAAGGCTTTCACATGACAGGAGTAATAGAAGAAGAAAATAACAGCAATGGATGAGATAATGGGAAATGACAGACTTTGGGGTACGAAAGTATGTTATTGCCTGGAGTTGTAATACTGAGCTGGACTGAAGTGGTAGTTCTCTTCTCTTCTCTTCTCTTCTCTTCTCTTCTCTTCTCTTCTCTTCTCTTCTCTTCTCTTCTCTTCTCTTCTC